CCAACTCCATGCTCAGAATGGCCGCGCTCAGCATCGACCTCTGGGTGGCCGTGGTCTTCCCGCTGAGCTACCGGGCCAAGATGCGCCTCCGCGACGCCGCGCTCATGGTGGCTTACACGTGGCTGCACGCGCTCACCTTCCCGGCCGCCGCGCTCGCGCTGTCCTGGCTGGGCTTCCACCAGCTCTACGCCTCGTGCACGCTGTGCAGCCGGCGGCCCGACGAGCGCCTGCGCTTCGCCGTCTTCACCGGCGCCTTCCACGCCCTCAGCTTCCTGCTGTCTTTCGTCGTGCTCTGCTGCACGTACCTCAAGGTGCTCAAGGTGGCCCGCTTCCACTGCAAGCGCATCGACGTGATCACCATGCAGACGCTCGTGCTGCTCGTGGACATCCACCCCAGGTGAGGGGGCCCCGGGCGAGGGCTCCGGCCAGGGGGCAGGGGACGTGGGGGGAGCGAGGTTCCCGGCCTCGGGGCCTCCCTTCCTCCTGGGCAAACGCCAGCGAGGAGAGTGGCCGAGGCTGGGGGCTGAAGCAGGGGCTCAGAGCGCCAGCCATCTGGGGCCGCAAAAGTATGCGAGTGAACCCATTTGTCCTTCGCTTCTTGAGGCATCGGGGTGGAAATCGCAGCGTCAGAACTTCCTTGGGCTTCCTGACACTCGGTTGGTGTGTTTGTCGTTTTCGCTTTAAATGGCACATGGGAAGGCAGGGGTCTTTGTTCACTGCTTAAGACACTTAAAAGGTTTGAATCGGGCCCCCGGAGAGGGTGGCCCAGATGCTCAGGAAGCTCCTTACCAAGCCCTTCCAACGGAAGTGTGGGGCTTGTCTCTCTCGGTGTCAGAGCTGCCTCTGTCTCTTATGGAATTGGGCTGCATCTTCCCTTGTGGCGGGCTTGGAGGGGCGGGCTTGGGGCTCTTCCTGTCCTCCCCAGAATGTATGTCCAGCGTCTCCTGGACTTGGTGCCCGGAGGCGCCTGCAGAAGTGTCACCCGAGCTCCTGGGACTGAGCCTGCTCCTATCCCATCCCCACGCTGGCTGCTGTTTCTGAGAAAGGCAGATGGAGGGGGGCGAGTGCGAGTACCCGCTGGGAACCCCTGCCATCCCCGGGAGCCTCTGAGCTAGGGAAGGAGGAACTCTCAGCTGTCCTGAGCTCACCTCGGCTTTCCCCATGAGAATAAGAAAGTGAGGAGGGCAGCGGCTGGCAGTGTCTCGGCGAATTCCATTGTTTTCTATTCTGTGGTCACAGAAAAGGCAGGCTGTGCTGCTTGGGACCCTAGATAAGGATCGGTCCCCTGGGCTAGACACCACCTGGTGTCTAGAAGGTGTGTGAGGCAAACAGCACCATCAGGGGAAGGCTAGAACCTTCCTGTGAGTGGAACCCTGGGAGCCCAGGCGTGCCTTGGGACGGAGAAAAGAGCTGGGTCTCTACGACGTGTGTCACGTGCCAGGGATAAAGGGCACAGACCAGAGGTGTCGGTCTGAGCAAGGGCTTCTTCAGTTCTGGGCTCTTCCTGCCCATGAGCCATAACATGCCGTCCTTGACATTCACCAACACGCAGAAGGGCACGTGTGTGTGTGTCCATTGTCCTCCTTGGCACTGCCATTCATGGTTATACACGAGACCAAGCTTCTAGCCACAGACTCTCCCTGCAGAATCGTGAACAAAATGTGCGTGGAATGATTGCACGCACATAGATGTCAGGGTGTGTAAATGTGGGAGCTCCACACACGCTGTCTCATGTGTCCACACATAAACTGCATATGTACCAGACAGCCATGTGTACGCAGGTCACAGGGGTGGCATGTGGGCACTTTGCCATAAAGCATGCAATGTCTCTCACTGCCCATGTGTGTGCATGGTTCAGTGTCCTTCAAAGAGATATTTGCAGCCACAATGGCAGAGCTGTTTCCTTTCCCAGTACCCAGGAGTGGGAGGATCTCTCTTCAGAAGGTGCCTCCCTAGGACTTGGGCTGGGGCTGGTCCTAGAAGATGCAGAACAATGTCATTTAACTCGTGGGACTTCAGTGGCTTTCACTATGAGTCTAACAGTGGAGAAAGGTTGAGCTGGGAGTGGAATCAGTTATTATTTAGATGAGTACAAACCCCTTCCCTGCTCTTCTTCCAGCTTCCAGAAGCGGGGTGGGCTCCTTTTCAGCCCGGTTAGGGTGTAGACCTGGCTCCACTCCTGCAGATCTCTCTGACTGACTCCAGGCAAGGAGTCACTAAAAAGAGAGTCCTGGGGTCTCAGGAGCAGAGGCAGCCACTCTGCTTGTCTCCAGTCTCTCCCTCTTCCCCCTTCTGTCTGGGGGGACCTTGACGTCTTCTCGGCTCCAAGCTGCTTTGAGCATCCCCTGCTCCCGGTGCCTTGGGGCCTTCCAGGCCCAGTCTCCTTGGAGAGAGGAAGGGCTCTGGAACAGAAATAGTTCTGATCGGTCCCCTGGCCTAGAGCTCCCTGAGGTCATGGGATAGTGACGGGTGGGACAGTACTGCCCCTTCGGTGAACACAGACATGTCTTTCTCTGAGGAGTTGGCCTCTGCAGGGTGAGGGAGAGGATGACTCATATAGGAGGGGACAGCCAGTCCACAGGCTTCTATCTTGGCAGCTCCAAGCTACTTCTCTCACAAATGAGAAACTGCGGAGCCAGCTTGGAGGCTACCCTGGGCATGCCCTGTCTCAGGCACTAAGCCTCCTGGACCAGACTGAGAGCCGGTGGGGCCTGGGAGTGCCAGTCCTGGTGCACAGAGACCTGGCTTCTCCCTCTAGACAGCCAGAACAGCAGGTGGAGTTTTGCTCACTGGAAATTTTATCAGCTGCCACACTGCTGGCCTCCTGGGACTTCATTAAAAGGGAGCCGTTTTGAGGACTCAGGGTGGCATTTGCCAGGAAGCTCTCTCGTGGTGTCTGCTTTTCCTGCAGGGTGTTTAAAATGACATGTGGCAGGCCGCCGCACCTCTTTGCTTTAGCCACCTCCCAAACATCAGAGACCTTCTCTTCTTCATTAAATCTGAGACCCCCCAGAAGTGTTCTCCACTCCTGCCTTTCTGTGGCAATTGCTTGATTCCTACCTTTCTGGAGCAGTTTGGAGTTTCTAATACTTATTACACACCTGGTCCTCCATCTGCTCAGTGCACACCGCTCACTGCCCACTGCTCAGTTCTCCCAAACCACAGCTTGGGACCAGTTATAGCCAGACCCTCTCCCTAGTGCTGCCAGGAGTGGCAGAGCAACGGGCACTGGGGCATGGATGCAGGGACCCAGTTTAGCTTAGGGTCACAGCTCGAGTTGGAGATTTAACAGAAGCTGATTGCAGATGAAGAGGACTCAATGGGGGACCAGCACCCAATCTTTTCTGAGCATCCCTAGGGATCTGCTGGGCCTCCCAGCATGTCCTCGACATCTTGTTAGCAGCGTCTGCAGATGCTGGTTGGGAGCTGATTCTGGAGGGTGTGGGAATTGTGGAGGAGTAGACGAGAGTCTCAATGTGCCCTTGACCTTACAGATGGGGAAGCTGGGAGATCCACGGAAGAGAGGCACCAGCCTAATGTAACATATCTAGAAAATAATTCGAACCAAGCCTCAGACTCAGGCCTCCCCTAATATTACAGATGGGTGATAACACAAATGGAGGCTCATGAACTGTATATACAGATATTTAGAAGTTCTCCATTAAGCTCACACACTTAAATGTGTTCTACCCTCCTTCCCTGACAAATATATCTATATAATGACCTTGGAGGCTAGGTTCAAGCTTAGAATTCTCAGCCTCCTTAGAGGTCACCCTCACACGTGCTGGGGAGAGCCGAGATGGCCCACCTGCCTTGACCCTCAATCCCAGATCTTCCCAGCACCACAAGGGACCTTTTTTGCATGAGATGCACATGGCAGCTTGTGCAGCCACACTCCATGCTTGTGTTTCTTGCAAGTGCCACCCCTCAGGCCTCTAGCTGAGCACACAGGTGGCATAGGCCACCTTCAGGAGAATGGGACCAGGGGAGATGGCTGCACACATCTTGGAAGCAGGACGAGGGCATTTGGGCAAAGAATCCCTTGGTCCTGGCACATAAAGCTTGGTCTAGAGTGGAAGGTGGGGACTCTGGGTGGGCACGTCCCCTTAGCCCTGTGAAATCTTCATTTTGCGGGGCGGGGTGTGGGCCCTTAATGTGAAGGACCCAGGGTAGGAATTCCTCATGCTGGATTTGAGGACAGGACTATCGTTCACACTCACATTCCGACCCAAAACTCAAGGCTCTTTGGTCAGCTGATTCCTTTGCCTTCAAAGCCAGAAACAAATCCCAGTCACTCCCTGAGGACTCAGAGTGGGCTCTGGGTGGACGACAGTTGTCCTGGGAGTCATTCTGAACCCAGAGCCCTTGCAGACGGCAGGGAAGTGTCTGCAGCTGGAAGGTTTTTATTTGCGATCACTTCATTCATTGACTTTTCAGATGTTCCCAGAATTCGCCAACCCCTTTGTCCCATGACCAGTGTCTATTGGGGAACATCTCTTCAACCCCACAAGTCGTGATGCTGAAGAGCCTGGCTCCTTTTGTCTCGAGGAAACTGTCTTGTCATAGCCTCAGAAGCCCCCCATGCCAACACACATGCTCACACTCTGGGGGAAAGAACCTGGCCAGGTTGCCTCGGGGGAGTGTTGGCCTCTCACACACTATGCCTCAAATGCCACCTGTGAGTCTGAGGACCAGGTGCCACTGCCAGACTCAGGCTGTTTGAGAATGCTCACCATCAGTGATTCTATGGGAGGCAGTGGGGGCTGGGGAACCACCTCACACCTCAGAGTCAGGAGACCTGGGGCGAGGCCTGGCTCGGTCCCAAACTCACCGTGTGACCTTGGGCATGTTGTAAACCTTTCTCCAGATGAGTCAAAAAACATCTGGAGATAAATAAAATAACGGCTCACCCGCTGTAAGATTTCCAGGAGCTCGCTTTTGCGATGCTATGGTGGGGGAAATGGCAGCAAAGACAAGGTGATTGTGTGCTGTTGCTGTTCTGGAAGTGGAAGAGCTGTTCTCATACTGTGATTAAATCATCATCATTTCTTCATCTTCATAATGATCCTCATCAAGAGGACTGTGCTATTTCCTCAGAGCCTGGGGACGACTCCGCCTGACTTACCCCCTGCCACCTCCCTGCTTCCACCTGGAAAGCAGGAGAGCCCCAGGCGGGGAGGTAGACCCATCCTCTTTTTTTCCTTCAAAAAGAACTCACAGAAGGAGCAACGTGGCTCCCAGTGAGGGGCACCAGACTGGGAGTCAGTGCCTGGGAGACTAGCCCTGCCTCTGGGTGAACAAGTCCTTCTCTTCTTGGAGTCTCAGTTTCCCCATCTGTGAGCTGTGATGGTAGAGGAGTAGATCTCTCATACTACCCATGGCTACAGAGTGTAGCTGGTCTGTCTCAGAGCAGAGACGTGACCAGGCCCACGTGGATATACACCCCAGAAATGACATCCATCCTGCAGACACCCTCTGTGCCTGACAGCATACTCGGTGCCATAAAGGTTGGGAAGCATCCATCATGTCTTTGGAGGTCCAAGGAGGGGTCACAGAGCCAGCACAAGAGTTGGGACTCCACCTCAGGCCTCCTGACTCCTAGTTCACTGTGATTGCACCTCTGGCATCATCTTGGTTACAGGTGTCTCTCTCGTAAATTGCATGTTTCCCCTGTAGTGGGAGGGAACATTGTGGTTTTGGAGCTCAGGGTCATGATGGAACATAGCAATTGTTCAACAAATACATGCCAAAGGAATAATGATTATAGCATTTACGGAGTGCCTACTCTGAGTTAGGCACTGCCATCAGTATCTTTTGTATGTTAATTTAGTTCATCTCAGTATGAGCTGAGGAACTGATGCACATAAAGGTTACACAACTTTCCTAAGGCCACAAAGCAATTAAGTGAGGGTGCTTGGGTTTGGTCCCAAAAGTCCAGCTCTGGTGTGTCATGCCCAACCACTAGGCTGTTAACCAAGAGAGGAGGCCAGGCCAGGAGATGCTTTTTATGACCTTACATCCACGGACAATCCTTGCATTGCTGGATAGGCTAAAGGTTTTTAAGGCTCACTTTTAAAAAAATCTATTTTAGGACAGATTTCTGACTTACTGTCACCTCTTTGGAAGGGTCGCTTTAAAAATAACTGAGTCTTCATTTTCCTGAGATTTTTTAAAAGGGATTTCATTAATTCCTACCACACACACTCACTGAGTATTTTCTGGGTATAAGACATTGAGCTTAGAACCATGAGCTCCCAAAGGAACACTGTATCTGCACAGTGCTTGCTATTGAGTTTTCTCTGCTACATAGACCCATAGGGACCGATACAGTTAATTCTCCAGAGGTTTCTACAGGGTAGAGGAGTGACACTGACCATTCCAGGCTGCACAGAGTCCATTTCTTTCCTGCAGACCCATTGGAGGGCACAGCTGGGGCGATGGAGAAACTCCCCTGCCCAGGGGTGACTTTGCCTAAGGCCATGCAGCTAGGGTCAGTCTTAAATCTCCCAACTATCATTACTCCTGAAGTCTCTATCTTTTTGAAGACCTCCAAAACATTCACTAGCATATGCTTTTAAATATTCTCCAAGGCCTCATGTTTCAGGAAGGGATTATCTGAAGACAAGCTGCTTCTGGGTGAATAGCTGTGTCCTCAGCCCCTTAGCAGAAATCCCGGTTCCCACTGGGGGGGGACCCAAGGAAGCTCTTCACTCTCAAAGAGCTAGTGGTAGACAAGTCTTATCTGTCTCCAAAAAATGTCTGTCCCTGTAATGAGCGGTAGCTCTAGGTATTTTGAAATCCCCCTTGGATAAATGAGGAACCCAATTCAGAGAGGTTGAGTGACTTCCCTGAGGCCACACAGCTGTGAGAGCAGCTTTTACTCATTGGGGTTATTTTGAAGCACCTGAGAACTGAACAACATTGTCAGGGTCAGAAATCGGAGGTGGGCCCAGCTCCAGTTCCTCTGGAGTGCCCTTGATGAACCATTTATGTGAATATGGTGCTCATATTTGGGGGATGTCTGGAATGATCTGCTGGTCTCTTTAGGTGAATGTCCCATAGGGGCTCAGGACACCCAGCCTGTGTCCTGAATCTCCAGCACATCTCGCCTCAGGCACACTGAAAGCACTGGGGAAAAGATGTTAATATTAAAACAAACAAGCCCCTTGTTGCAGAGACTCACACCAAACACGTGACACCCTCGGGTCACCCTCATCCTGGTTTGCCTGAGACTCGGGGGCTCCCAGGATGCAGGACTTTGAGTTTCAAAACCAGGTCAGTGAAGTCGGTGACCTCACCACACCCAGACCTCCGGGGTAGGGACTTCCACCTTCCCTCTTCCCCGACCATGTCCTCTTGTGTCACACAAGTCAAGGACTCTGGTAGAAAACTCTGCAGGAACCCAGGAGTCATGACAGTTGGGAGGTTTAAGACTGACTCTTGCTGAATAGCCTTAGGCAAAGTCACCCCCTGGGTCCCTCCGTAGGCCCAGCTGTGTCCTTCAAATTTCCTGGGTGAGATGATGCCCCCTAGGGGTCTGTAATGACTGGGGAGGTGACTTAACACCTCTGTACCTCAGCCTTCTCATCTGAGAAATGGGGGCCATAATGCTATCAGTCTTTAGCTCACAGAGATGTGGTATCAAAATAAACAAATGTATCCCTCTATCTAGCATGGCATGTATCAGAGACACAAGAAATGAGGGTTGATATTAAAATTCATTTTTAGAAAGGAATTAGTAGTGTTAGTTATGAATAGTATACTTTGAACCAGGATGAAACCTGTTTGCACCAAGCCCAACTCCAATTTTCAACTCTTTAAATTCCTGGAAAGGTAGAAATCAAGGAAAGAAAGAAAAAATCCTGCAAGAATTTCGGGAGCCTTCAATCCCACCTACTATGGAACTGTCTATCTGTGATAGGAAATCTCGTCTAAACAGAATCTTGATGAAGTATTAAAATGATGGTTCACCTGGCAGAAAGGAATGGCTGCTGTGGCATTAGCGATGTCCCTGAACCTGGCTCATGAATATTTTCTCCACTGCTTGTTTTCCTTGGATAGACTGGCCTTTTATTTGGAGCCAGGCCACCGCAACCCAGGCCTAGCTCTACCAAGATATCTTCTCTTCCTAGGCAACTGTGACCACAGTCTTCTTCCCTGTTTGTTTTTGAACCTCTTGAAAGGACCCAGAGCAGAGCAGAGCAGGAAGAGGGTGTGCTTCGAGATGCAGGTGTCAGAGGGAGGTGCAGTTAGAGGCGTAGGTAGCTTCTCATTTCAGTTGTGCCCCCAGTTCCATCCTTGAAGCTGTGTTCCCAATTCCATGGGTACTTGGGAGTCTCTTGGCTTCTTCAACTTGGTCTCTGGAGGAATCAGGTGACTTCTCCTTCCCTGACTCCGTCTTGCGGTGCCTAGACAGGGGTGAGGCTTTGGGATGGAAAAAGTCAGGCCGAAGATGTGGAGGAGAGGAAGATCTGTGTCACACGCCACACGCATGGAGTCCAGGCTGCCCTGGGTGAAAAAGACCAGCTTTGAATCATGCACATGGGTTCAAATCCTGCCTCCACTCGCCAGTTGGGCAAATCATTCGGCCTCACAAAGCTCATGGTTTTCATTGTAAAGCAGGGCAGGCAAAAACCCACCTGGCAGGCAGAACACACCTGGCAGGATCGCTTGTGATAAAGATAAGAACTGGAGATTTTACAGAGAGCATGTGGCATCCTGGAGCCGGTGCAAAGCTGGTGATCAGTGAATGATATGAATAATACTAAGAGTTCATGCTCATTTGCACTGACATGAGCATTGTTCTAGTTGCTTTATGTGCTTTAGGCCTTGAACACATGTCACGTATCCATGTGCTGGATGCATTTAATTCTCAGAACAGCCCTTTGTGACAATTTATTATATTATGTCAAATACAATAAAGTACCTACACAAAATACATAATGTATATTACTGTATTACACGCGATGACCTTGAGGCTTAGTGATGTCACACGGCTTGGCCAAGGTCAATCGCTTCAGCCAAGGCTTGACCGTGGTCTTGCAAGTCACTGTACTAGAGGCCACTGCCTGTGTTTGTGACTAGTCCCTCCTTCTGATCTGGCCAGGCCGTCCCGTGAGTCACCTTTTCCTCCCTCTCTCACACAGTGTGCGGGAACGCTGTCTGGAGGAACAAAGGCGGAGGCGGCAGCGCGCCACCAAGAAGATCAGCACTTTCATAGGGACCTTCCTCGTGTGCTTTGCACCCTACGTGATCACCAGGTGAGCCTGACCGGTGGGGCATATGGGCCGGGGTTTTGAAGAGCCAAGCGGGGCTGGCTGACTCCTAGCAGTCACGGCCTCTCTTGGCCCCATATTCTTTTCCGGGGTGCATTGCCAGGTTTAGTGAAAAGGAAGCTGCATGCTCTTCCTCTTCAGCCTCAGATTATTTTGGATCAGACTCAAAACTAAAAAGGTGTCAAAGATTCTCTCCCACTCAATTTCTAAATTGCATCATTACAACCCATTATCCTGGGTCCTCAATCCCCAGGAGTCCCTAAAGGAGGGGAGAAGGGGAAACATGACAGAGAAAGGCATCCTACAGTGTGGTTGGACACCTATTGTCCACTGAGTGCAGGACAGCCCAACCCCTGGGCATGCCCAGCCTGGACACCCAGGTCAACAGCAGGGTCATCTGCCACCCTCACAGGGGGCAAGTAGCATGCTCTGTGCCCTGCAAAATAGACCCACCTGTCCTATGGTTTGGAGGTCTCCACTGTTAGGGTAGGTGCTGCTGGGCTGGTCCAGTGCCATGCCAGATCTCCAGCCCCTGAGCTGGCCAGGGCTGACATATGCTGGCCTCAGGCTGTGCATTTCTTAAGCCATTCTTCTATAGCTGGAGCGCTTCCCCCATGCGTGTTAGTCGGAAAAAAGAAAAATTATATCACCCAATCAATCAGTTTTTCCAACTGGAAGGAAAACAAAAACCACACAACTTCAGGTCCATAGTGGCTTAATGATCTGGGAAGTAGGCAATAAAAAAAGGAAACTTTGATGTTCTGTTAGGAGGTAGATGTGAAGCTTTCGTTGAATCTAGGAAGTAGGATCTGTGCAGGGTTTTCTGACAGAGAGAGAGAGAGAGAGAGAGAGAGAGAGAGAGAGAGAGAGTGTGTGAAAGAGAGAGTGAGTGAGCACACACAGCCCAGCTACCCAGCTTCCCAGCACCTCCCAGTTTCCCCGACGGCAACCACCTAGAAGGGCACCCTGCCTTACCATCACCCGGCATCACGCACGCCCCAGAGAGGAGGGCCTCCCTGATGGAAGGTTCTGCCTGTTTCCTGTTTGTCCTTATACTGAGCTGAAGTTGGTTGCTGTAGCTCCCGCCTCTGCTTCCAGTTCTGCTCCCTGCAGCCCAGCAGAATGTCCTCTACTCCCAGGAGGCCCCATGGACTTGGAGACACTGAGCCTGACTTTCCCATGACCAGCCCCCACTTCTGTTCCCCAGACAGCACAACCTCAGGGGTTCCACTGTCTTCCAAGGCACGCCGCAACCTCTAGGGGAGATCTGGTCAACCCGCGTCTTGCTTTGAACATGAGACCCAGACCTGTCTGCAAGTCTCTAGATGGGTCTGACCAGGGCAGAGCAGAGCCACCAATTCTTCCTTCTTCTAGAACTGTTCACTAGGCCTCAGCACCATTGGCATTTTGTGTTGGATACTTCTTTGCTGCTGGGGCCTGTCCAGTGCATCCTAGGGTATTCAGCAGTATCCCTGGCCTCCACCTCTGGATGCCAATAGTGTCTCTTTCTATACCACTTGCTGCCCCGGTTTTGATAACTAAAATTGTCTCCAGACATTGTCAAATGTTGTCTGGGGCCCAGAATCACTCCCGGTTGAGAACCAACCACCACAACCAACTAGGAGGCGAAACTTACATTGCTCGGGGTTTCCCATGGGACGCAAAGTCCAGGCACAGTGAGAGGAGAAAGGGTCTCCTTTGTTTTCTGAGAGAGATGTGGCAGAGCATTAGCAGACTGAATCTGGCTTGTGCCTGCCTGGACCCAATCCACCCCTCTGCTGTGTGACCTTGGGCCAGTGATGTGGCCTCTCTGGGCCACCAGAAGGGAGTGCAGTGCCCTGAGGATTTAAGGACATGGACCATGGGAACATGTGGCACAGGCCTGACAAATGATTCTGTGGTCTTCACCCACCCTCCCTCCCTCCAGTACTTATAGCACCACCCATGATGCCCAGGACTGGCTGCAACAGAACTGAGGGGGATTCAATCCTGCCAGGGAAGGTGCATCATACGTGGGGTTGGCAGACAGGGGTCACACAGAGAACCCTAGACCTCCGAGGCTGGGGTGCCATGAGCTAATAAGGTGAATTTGACCCCTCAGAAGAGGACAGGTGATATGGCTCCAGCTTTAGACTATTGAATTTTTCTCTGGCTTAATTTCATTTCCCAAAGCAACTTTCCTGTTTTTTAAAAAATTACAGATTGGTTCCCTCTAATAGTGCCCAGAAAATAATGTTTCACTAAAATTGATGGTAGATTCACAACTCAATATGCTCTCTCCAAATGGATTTGGTGCATTTTGAGCTTTTAAAAACATTCTAAACCCTGTTCATCCTCTGTGGGGGAGAAAGCCACGCCCAAGAAACCTCATGAATATGAATCAGGGTTCCAATGAAACCTCTCTGTCTCCACTCCCCTCATCCCACCAGCTCCTGCCTTGGCTTCTCATCTATATGAAGAAACCATCCTAAGAAAACCTCCTAAAATATGCAAACATGCTCTCATTTCGTTTCAACACACTTTTCTCCAGCACCTTCTCTGCAGATCATAAAAGAGTCCCTGTAGAGGAGGCATGGGTTGGTGAGGCCCCAGAAGTCTCCCTCCAATCGGGACACTAACCCAGATGGGGCACCATGTCATGGGACAAGCATAGGAGTCAGGGGTTCTGGGGCAGGAGTGACCTCCCCTGGCTGGGGCTTCATGGACAAGCCTGGCTATTTAGGGGCACCAGACCATCCAAGCAGAAGGAGAAACATGAGCCAGCCAGGTCTAGAGCTGTGCTGCCTGCCATGAGGGCCACCAACCGCAGGTGGCTATGGGGCACTTGAAACATGGCCTGGCCGGGCTCGGTGGCTCAGCCTGTAATCCCGCGCCTTTGGGAGGCTGAAGCGAGTGGATTGCCTGAGCCCGCGGGTTCGAGACCTGCCTGGGCAGCGAGACCTCCTCTCAACAATAAATCAAAAAATCAGCCGGCCATGGTTGCGCACGCCTGTAATTCCAGCTACTTGGAAGGCTGAGGCGGAAGGATCGCCGGAGCCCAGCAGGTCGAGGCTGCGGTGGCTGGGAGCAGCCACTGCACTCCAGTCTGGGTGACAGAGTGAGACTCCAACTCAAAAGAAAAAAAAAAAAAAAAAGAAACATGGCCTGTTCAAGTTGGGATGTGCTATGGGTTTAAAAACACACTGGATTATCGAGACATAGCATAACGCTATATATATTACATATTTAGTAATTTTATACATACTAAATATATATTTATATAAATGTTATAAATACTAAATATAAATATACTTAGTAATTTGGGGGCTATAATGAATAATTACAAGTGGTGGTCCATGCCTATAATCCCAACACCGGGTGACTGAGGTGAGAGGATCACATGAGCTGAGAGTTCAAGACCATCCTGGGCAACATAGCGAGACCCTGTCTTTTCAAAAATGAAGGTGACAATGATGATCATTTTATACAGCGTTCAGAGAGAAATGATAAAGTTAAATAAAATATATAATTAATTCCACGTGCTTCTTTTCACTGGTAGAACATTTCAGATGACCTCTGTGCCTCCCTGTCTCTGCTGGCCGGCACTGGTCTGCAGTCAGAGAGGTCTGGGGTGGGAGGTGGGTCAGTGCCCTGTTCGCAGACCCCTCTGCTTCTAGACCTCTAGCCACTCATGGCCATCCTTCTGTGACCAGGAGCCCACTGGGATCCCCATTCCAGCCACTCTTTGAGGGTGCTCAGAGCTTTCTCTGCCACCTGTCTTCCCTATCCAGTGCCCTGCTTGATGACGGCCAGAATCCCATCAGAGCTCGGCTTCCCTTGCCAGGGTATGAACTGCCAGGCTGGGCAGGGTGGGATTGAGGAAGGATTTAATCTCGCATTCACTTCCAGGGAGCCTGATGCAAATTCTTCCTTCTTTCTCTGAGTCAGGGTTGAGAAACACACATGATTATGGGGAGAAATCAACTGATGGTAAAAATAATAACCATAAAATAATCCATGCAGAGCATTCAGCAGTGTGAATCTTACCATCACCCACTGCGGAATCACAGTCACTCACGCATCCGGTGGCGACTGTTTGATTCACCTGCTGTTCTTCTCAAGCTGGTGTCCAAGTGTGGACATGACCAGTCTCAGAACAAGCTGAAGAAAGACTCTGCTCTGAAATGTAGCTGAGGCTTCAGCTTGCAGAAAATGATTCCTTCTGGAGAACTCAGAGCCATGGGTTTTGGAGGCAGACAGACCCCATAGCTGTCTATCAAAGCTATGCGGGGAGGGCGAGCTGGTTGTACTGTGCAGGCCAGCTTGACCCTACTGCTCGTGGCTGGCAGAGCACTGTATTGAAAGTGACTCAGGAGCCAGGCTAGGATTCATGGGAAAGTGCCAGGAATGGTTGGTAATGTCTCCACCTTCAAGGAAGAGACACACAGATGCTGATAGTTGTTCTTCCTAACCTGGTACCGTGTTTGCCAACTCGGCTTCACATTGGAATCATCTGGAGAGCTTTCAATCCAAATCCATACCTGGACTCACACTAACAGTTAAGTTAGACTCTATCAGTGTGGGCCTGGGCATTGGTGGCTTTAAAGCCCCTCAGGCGATTCTAATGGCCAGTGATATTGAGCATCATAGCTTTAGTGCAACCCTACCCTATTTTACTGCTGGAGCAGCTGAGGCCTAGGGTCAGGGGGTAGTGGAACAATTGCCCAGAGTCATGTATCAAGCCAGGGGTGGAGCTGGACTTCCAACCTTGGTGGACTTCTCACCAGCTCCTCAAACTCTCAGAAGGATCTTGGGGAAGGGGGTGTTCTTTGCAGAACCCATTCCCCCTTCCCTCTCGCTCAGGGCTGTGGCTGTGGCTTTAAACCCTTGGCACATGGAAACTGCTCCTGGCTTCCTTCCCAAGACCCTCTACAGCCCAGGGGTGGGCCACTCAAGGTCTGCCGAGTGACTTCTGGACTCCCAGCAGCCACTGCACTGCAGCCATC